TTTTGTTTTTAGTTAATTTTAAATGGCATATAAAACCACAAAAGTTTACTTATTAATGTAGTACCTATAATGTTTTTATATATACATGAATTATGTACTTTTTTACATCATGATAAATGTATCTGTTTCTAAAAGATTTTATCCTTTCTTTCCAGGAATAATTCCAAAGTCTCTTTTTTTTTCTAGGTTTTGAAATGCGGAGTACAAGATTGTTATATCTCTATTCACCATGATGTGCGATAGCACAAGGAAACCCTTTTTCACATGTAAGTGTAACTGAGTACCCATTGATAAAACTTTCCCTTTCTCTCACAACCCTATACTCTCCCCACTACTCCTAACCAGCAATGTAGTCTAAATATTTGTGAGAACAACTTTTTAAGGACAGAACATGTGAGTGAGATCATCTGGTATTTGCTCAGCTCTTGGCTTATCTCACTTAACATAATGATCTCCTAATATATTCACTTTGTCACAAATGGCTGACTAGTAGTCCATTATACATATGCAAAATAATGTGGTTACTCAAATTATTGTCGGTTGATGGACATTTAGGTGGTTTGTATTTGTTGTGAATAGGACTATAATGAACACATGAATTCACATACCCTTTAATACTATCATTTCATATCCTCTGATTATATACTCAAAAAAGGGACTGTTAGATCCCATGATAGCTCTATTTTTAATTTTTTAAGGAAGACTCATACACATTTTCATAATGTCTGCATTAATTTCCAATTTCACCAATAGTGTGCAAATGTTCCATTGCTTCCATATCCTCACCAACAATTATTTATTTTGTCTTGTTGCTCACCATCATATCTACTGAGGTGAGGTGATGTTTTACTTTGCATTTCTTACATGATTAGTGAGGTTGAGTATTTTGTCACATACTGTTGAGCATTCATCTTATTTTCAGAAACATCTATTTAGGTCTATTGTTCATTTTTATGGGGATATTTGTAAGTTTTGCTATTGAGTTTTTGTTTTTTCTCATAAATTCGGTTTACCCAGAACTTGTTCAATAAAGGAAAATCATTATCATCTTGTAATCTCTGCCAATTCATCATGAATTGGCAATCAATTTTCTATTTTTTATCTGTCTTGTAGTCATATAGTCTTTACACCATTTTATGTATTTATTCTTTTGGTTCTTCCACTTTACATACATTATTTTGGTGATATATCCTGATATGGTTATTATGCAGGTAATTCATTCACTCTCATATCTGTGTAACATTCCACTCTAAAACATATCATAATATTATTTATTAAATTGAAAGCTAAGGTCAGCACAATATGGCACATTCATTTTTTGAAACATAAAAATGAAGTTTTTAATATATTTCTCTTTATATGACAGAAGGGTAAACCTGAGTGGCTTTGACTTAGAATTCAGGATTGCAAACTCTAACATACATGCTACCTGACATTTTAAAGAAAAGCTTGTTGTCTTGACATAATATATTTTTTTTTAAATTGAGTTGTTTCCAATTGTATGCTATTACAAATAAAGCAACAATGAAAACATTTGCATGTATTGGAGTATTTCTGAGTGTAATTCTGTGGAGTATGAAACTAAAAAAAGAAACTAACTAATGAGGCATTTGTATATATAGCTACAGTAGAAATGGTCATGCATGTTATGAAATGTCAATTCCCACTCCACTGTCAAGAGATTGTTGCACATTTTTAGCAATTTTTTATATTTTGAATGTTTTCACTTTGGCTTTTGTAAATTAGTCATAGTCTTGCACAATTTTTTATGCACTTGGGCACAAAATAAGTTCTGCATCCACTATGATATCATGTCTCTGCAATTTCAATTTTGAATAAGAGACCAGTCAAAAGACCTGTGTTGTCCGGTTTAGGGCCTTATGATATTCATGCTACCACTACCTACTTGACACCTTTGTTCTTTTGAGTCTTAGTTCAAGTCAAAAGAATGAGAGACATTGTTATGATTTGGAAATGAGGTGTCCCTCCTAGCTCATGTGAGAGACCAGGCAAGAATTTTCAGACATGAAAGGACTAGATTATGAGAGGTATAAGCTAATTGGTGTGTTAAATCACTGATATAGATTGACTAGGTACTTCCAATAGTCAAGTAGGGTGTGGCTGGTGGAAGGAGGTTATTGGGGGCAAGCCTAGGCAGATTATATTTTGTCCCCAGTCTATAGACCTCTTTCATTGCTTCCTGGCTGTGATGTTCAGTACTGCTTTCTTCTGACTCTCCATTCCACAGTGATGTTCAACCTCACCATAGTCCCAGATTTATGGTGTTGGCTGATGATAAACTAAATATATGAAAACAGGAGCCACAATAAACATTTCCTCCTTCAAGCTGTTCTTGTTGGTCTTTTGGTCACAGCAACACAAAGCTGATTAAAACAGATTTAAAACAAACTTTGTACAAATAAGAAGTCACTCATCTCTTTCAATTCATTTCAGTAATGGTGATGGGTTCTCGTGAGAATAGAACAATAATTCATAGAGATAGAATATTGTATCTGGAAAGGACATTGCAAATAATCTAGATTAAATCCCTATTTCATGTATAAATTGATTGAATTATATTGTGTTGTACATATACAAGATATCCCATTTCTTTCTCATTTGTATATTTAGGAATTTCAGCAGCAAAGATGAAGAATAAAGTCAAGATGTGAAAACATAACTATGATAGTAATTTTCTCTCCACAATCACTGGTACTACTCTATTTAGGAAATAAGACTTGCTGCCAGTAATTGGTTTATATGAAATGAAAATCGTATTTGAACAGATGTAGAAGAGAAGAAAATAAGGCATGAACTAGACAGTATCAAAGGGATCATAGCATTTGATGATGTGCACTGTATAATTTTGAGATAGAAGAGTCATGACCATATGCCAAAGTTTCTACTTGTCACAAATTCCCCCAAACTAATTATATATAATTGATACTCCACTTTGTAAATTAAAAAAGTCATAATTAATCAAATCAGTTCACTCTTTTGGAATACACTTGTACAGGATTTTAATTTTCCTTCTCTTTAGTTCTTACTCACTGACTCTAATAATAAGGGAATTTGTGAAGCCCCAAGCAGTCTGTAGATGCTATAAGAAATCTGAACATGTGAGAAAGAGATGAGTTAATGTGGAGGAATATCTGCATTTTATAAATTATTGGCAATCCACTGTCAATCAGTTTTGCTAATGTTTTAGTATAATTCAGACAATGTTCTTTGGCCATGTTTCTGTTAACCTCAGTGTGTTTGAGGGACTATAATAAATACCACAAATACCTTAGCTTATGTTTTAATCAGCTAATGCAGCCCTGTGACCAAATGTCCTGACAAGAACAATTTGGAAGAGTAAAAGTATATTTTGGCTCACTATTTCAGAGTTTCATTCCATGATCAGAGAATTTCAACTCTCTGGGCCTCAGGTAAAGCTGAACATCATAGTGGAAGGGTGTGGCAGAGGAAAGTAGCTTTGTACATGGCAACCAACAAGCAGAGAGAGAGAGAGGTCCACTCACTAACTATAAAACATAAACCTCATGGGCATGCCCCCAGTGACTTCCTTTCTTCAGCCAAACCAAGTTAATCCATACTAATGGATTAATCCATGAATTTAGACAATAGCTCTTAGAATATAATAATTTTACCTCTGAAATTTCTCATATTTTCTCAAACATGAGATTTTGGAGGACACCACATACCCAAATCATAACATTTTACCCCTGACCCAAAACCTCATGACCGACACATAATGCAAAATGCATTTCATCAATTGCCAGGAGTCCCAAAGTCTTAAGTGTTGCAGCATTGCCCCAAAGTACAACTCCAAAATCTCATGAGACTTAAGGTAAGCTCTTAGTTATGAGAGTGAAAATCAAAAGCAAATTGCATATATCTAATATACAATGGAACCAAATAAATATTTCCTTTCCAGAAAGGAGAAATAGGGGTATAGAAAGAAAAAAAAAATGGGACCAAATCAAGACCAACATCCAGCTGGGAAAACATCTATTATGTACTCACAACTACTTTGCTATTTGGCATTTTTATTTTAATATTTGTTTGTTTATCTATTTGCATGTTTATACAGACATGAAGAAGTGTTTGGGATAACTTGGATGGAATGCTCAATCCTTAGGCCCAATATCTCATATTGGAAATATTAATTTAAGAAACATGGTCACATTATACAATGCTTTGAAGAAGTGAATGTTTGTAGAGGACAGATGATCACTTGACTGGGGCTGACAGTGTGGAATAAGGAAATGAAATCTTGAAAGAAATGATGGAGATGAATTTGATAATTTCATTACAAGATATTCTTTACCAAGGTCATTTTAATTCGTTTTTATAGCTTTATCAAGTTGGACTTTTTTTGCTTTTTAAATGTTATGATTGTCCGTCTGAAGACTTCTCTAGTTGTTCAACTCTCTGCCTAGATTTATTTTCTCTGAGTTATTTTCAACATGAAACTGACCTTTGCCATCCAAGGGAGACTTTCTTCTGCACACCGCATTTAGATATTTTGCTTTCATCATCTCTTTTTATTCCAGGGTTGTTTTGAGGCCAATTGTCACTTATTTAATTCATGTTAATAAATTAATGTATTAATTAATTAATTTAACTAGAATTTAATATTCACTAATATATAAATTCACAATAAAACATAAGGCACAAAAATATGTAAAAGGCAGTTAATATGCATTTACTAAATTATAATATAATTGAAATAATGCATGAATAAAAGAACAAGCAAATAAAACTTTGAGAAAATTAATATGTGAGGATAATCTTTTCAGAGATAAATATAATATGTTAATTCAAAATGAATAATCAAGCATAACATGTTTGTACAGCTGCAACATTTTCTTATAATTAGACTTTAGCACAAAACTTATTCAATAAACCATGTGAAAAAATTATTCTGTGTATCATGCAATATATTAAAAAGTTTTCACATTAAATATGCACATATGGACAGATATTACGATTACTTAAATCCACCTTTTCTTTTTCAATCTTTGCAGGGCCTCTTTCACATCCTTGTTGCGTAGGCTATAAATCAAAGGGTTCAACATGGGAATGATGAGGGTGTAGAACAGTGAGGCCATTTTGTCTTGATCTAGAGAGTAGGAAGAACTTGGCCGGAAATACATGAAGAGTATAGTGCCCTGGAAAACTGCAATGGTAGTCAAGTGGGAAGCACAGGTGGAGAAAGCTTTGAGCCTCCCATTAGCAGAGCGGATCTTTAAGACTGATGAGATGATGTAGCCATAAGAGACCAGGACTCCAGAAATGGTACTTAGTTCAATGAAACCAAAAATAGTGAATATTGATAACTCGTTGATCTGTGTGTCAGAGCAAGACAGTAACAGGAGAGGAGGGACATCACAGAAGAAATGATTAATCTCATTAGACTCACAGAAACATAAGCGGAATGTTAATGTCGTGTGTATCAAAGCATCTCCCAGCCCCACAAGGTAAACTCCAGCCATGAGCAAGTAGCAAACCCTACTGGACATGTTGACTGTGTACAGCAAGGGGTTGCTGATGGCCTTGTACCTATCAAAGGCCATCACTGCCAGCAGCAGACACTCGGAATCAGCAAAGATACATAAGATCAAGAACTGCAGAACACAGCCAATGAAGGAAATTGATTTGTTCTTGGCAAATATGTCCACCAGCATCTTAGGTCCAATTGTTGTGGAATAGCAGAGGTCACAGAAAGAGAGGTGGCTGAGGAAAAAGTACATTGGTGTGTGAAGCTGGGGATCCATTCTAACTAAGAAGATCATTCCAAGATTTGCCAGAAGATTAATGAGATAAATAAATAGAAACACAGCAAATAGAGTGCTTTTCATCTCAGGGTTAATAGTAATTCCCATGAAAATAAATCCAGTCTGTGAGGAAAAATTTCCTCTGTCCATTCTTCTTTGCCTAAACTTTTGAGAAAATCATTAAAAAAAAAAGATTCATGTTTCATTCTTTACATACAGACTGTACCTATATAGTAGAACACCGTTTGTTTCTGATATTTTTCTTTTTAGTCTCAGAAAAACACCCATTTATTTGTCACTTTTAAAAAAACAATTGCATCTGCTTGACAATATTCATAATAAATATGAGACAGCAGGTGAAAATTTTTGATTCAAATTTGAATGTCATTCAAGAAACGTATGACTTTCTACAACTTCATTACTTTCTCTGGATTTTACCTTCTTATATTAAGTGTATATTTTTACTCTACTGAAACCTGTATTCATTTTCCAAATAAATGGAAGAAACACTAGATAAACTATTGCAGTTGGAGAATTGACAACATTCACATTAGACTAAAAGGGTAATTTCAATGACATCAGTTTTAAAAAATCATTTTCGATTTAAAAGATCATTGTAGTAATTCTAGGAATATTAAGTGTATCACTGACTACTGAAACTGAAAAATGTTATTATACTGTTATTACATGTGGCTTTTAGTATTTGTGAAATATAAAATAAATATTCATTTATTTCTGTATTTTTTATAAATGTTGTATCATTTTACCACATGATTGTTTCCTCTTTTTAGAGATAATATGGAATTAAAGGATAACCTACTGACAATGCAAAGAAAAATGCTAAAAAGACAGTAAAACCACCTTAATTTAATACATATATTTACATTTCAACTAGATCTTAAGTGGGCACATATATTTAAAAAAAAGAAAGAAAAAGAATAAGGATTTTTGACTACGCATGTTTTACTTAAGCATAAGTGAATTTATGTACTTGTAAAGTAATTGCAAGTGTGTATGATTCCTAACTGGAATATGAGAAATAGTGAGGGATAGATATAAATGGGATTTTTGTTTTTATGCTTTGGGACTAAGTAAAAATATTATATGACTCATACAGAGTTGAAATTACATATATGATTATTTGTAATGCAGTACTTCAAATATCTATTAAATAAACAACAAAACAGAAAAATAACAACAAAACCACTTAAATTGATGTAAATACCTATATGGTATAAAGCAAGTAAATATTTGTTTATAATATATATTAAAATAAAATTAGTAAATAGGAAATTTAATGGATAGGAGATTTACTCATGTCTTCCAGTTTTGAGAAGAAATCATCATTTTTGATCATTAAGCCAGAATTTATGGAACACAGTAACCTGGCATAAAATGATTCATTTACAGATGTCTTTTTTTTATGTCATTTCTTTAAACCTCAAGTCTTTGAGTTTGGAAACTCAGGAACTTAATCTGACATGAACTTACCTGACATTCTTTGATAACTGAACCTTAAGCAGGTAGCATGGAATTATACCAGGTAAATTTTGGGACTTAACTCTCTGAGGCTATTCCCTCAGGCTTTGTTGTTATGCAAACTTATGACTTAATTATATTTATGACTCTTTATTTTCCCCTCTGAATACATCCACATCTTTATGAAAGATTGAGTTTTTATTATTGACTATCATCAGCAAACTGATCTATGACAGAATGAAAGCTGCAAGTAAATTTTATGGTGCAAAATACATAAAATACATACATACCTTTTACTATAAAATATGATCTATGTCATCCTTGTCTAATTAAAGCAGAATTTGAGGGAATTCACCCCCCCCCAAGTTAGTCATTTCAAACCCCTTTCTTTTGTTCATTTTTCTGGTTTTTAAAATAGTGTCCATAGTCTTAATGAATAAGTAATGACTAAGTAAATTTACTAATATTTAATGAAAGTATTAATTCCTTTCCGTGATAATTATAATGAGATATCATTAATATTTTATAAATCGTACACTTATAATATAAAAATTTCCTTGGATGTAGTATATTCACAAGGTTATGTAGCCTTTAACACTCTCTGCTTCCAGAACATTTTTTTAACACCTCAGTAAAAAACACATCTATTGGGGGTCACTTGCCTTCTCTACTACCCCTGGTCCTTAGAAACTTTACTTTCTGGTTCTATGTGTTCACTGATCCTAAGCATAAACAGTCATCTAATATATGCTCTTTTTTGTCAGTCTTCCCTCATTTAGCATATCTTTGTCAGAATATATCAATGTTGCAGCTTGTTTCTGAATCTCGTTCCTTTTTATGACTGCATAGCATTTCATTTTATGAATAAGAGACCCTTTGATTATCTATTTCTACTGGATGGATATTTTGGGTGTTTCTATTTTATTTGTTTTAGTAATAATTCTGTAACTACTCGTATCAATAACAATAATAAAGGCCATATTTTTCACCCACGATTGTCACATTCCATCCCAACCATGTGCCATCCATCCACATATCTTAGATTTTATGATTATGGTGTATACTCTATAGTCAATGCACTGCTTTATGAATTATGTGTAATTCATCTATATGAGGATTTCTCTATAAAATTTAAGCCTCAAGGAATAAAAAATATATATATTTTTGTATTCTCTATAATCAGTACTAAAAGATTTCATAGAGTTAATTGCTTACTAAATGTTTTTTGGCTATTTTAGAGAACAGTGATCAAATGTTAAAAGTATACTGTGTTTGCAGGATTTTTTGTATTAATATACTTTATATGTGTAAGAATGATTCACTTAAATATTGTACATAGATAAAATCTTCCTAAAAAACAGTTACAAATGTTTTGTGAAAGTGATTTCATTTTCTACTATTCATACTAATTCTTTGCTAACTTGGTTAATACTGGAAGATTGAATTCTATATTCTCCAAATATCACATATCAAGAGATTCTTCATATTTCTTGAAAGTTGGTCTATCACTGAAATATTTGATTTGATTGGGCTACCTCTAAAGGATCCAGAGCCAACCCCTGCTTCACATTGATCTGATTGAAATTTCTTACATTATTCTATATAGGTGTTATTAAATAATTTGTTAGGTTTTTGCACAGCAGAAACAAAAGGAGATCACACATATAGTCACTTTTATTTAAAATGTTAATTAAATGTTAACTTAGGAATAGAAAAATTTAAAAATTTCTGCAATTATAATTTTCACAGATTAAAAATAGCTATAAGCATTCAGATGCATCTCCTTAGACCAAAGTGTCCATTTAGCCTCCCTTCAAAGTTTTGTTGTCATTTACTTGCTCTGACCAAAAAAAAAAAAAAACATAGAAATCATTCTAGGTCATGCTATTTCCAGTCTTTAAGAAATTATACTGAGGGTGTAACAAGCTATTACCTAATGAGCTAAAGTATCAGTGTGAATCACTCTGTGACTCCATGGGGAGTTCAAGAGGACCAGATGAGCCTGTCTTTCTAGAGACATTCACATGCTTATGTCAATTGTGTGACACTTTTTCACCTCTCTCAGATGTCTACTGAATACCATAGTCAATAGAAACACCAGCAGAATAATGATAGTGGTTATTTTGAGCCCTCTGTTCTAGAACTTTATATAGCAAAAGCTACCTATAACAATGTGGAGAGAATATAATTAGATATGCACTTTTTCAGAAAGTACTTATTTTTAACACTAGCTCTAAATAAGTATATACACATAATCTATTATATTGCATGGATTTATGGAGATATGCATGTGTCTGTTTTGTCACAGACTGAAGAAAGCATTTGGCAACCTTAGATCTGAGAAAGGACTTGCAGTCAGAATATGAAGAACTCGCAGCAATAATAAGGAAATAACCAATCATATAAAAAAATGGAGCAGAGATTTCAATAGAAACTTCTCCATAGAAGATCTTTGGATGGAAAATTAATGTATGAGAAGATGAAAAGCATGTATCATTATTAGGGAAGTGATAATTAAAGCCAGAATAAGATATCATGACATACCTGCAATAACACATGAGCTAAAATTTTTTAAAAATCATATGTACCATTAATGAAAATATTGTGGAATATGACCTTTCATGAACTTCTGGTGGGCAGGTATAATGTTGCATTTTGGAATACATGTGGGCAATTTCTATGAATGTTACCCAGACTTGTGCTGCAATACAACTATTTTGTTTCTGTGTATTACCTAAGTCAAGCCCCATGTTCATACAATGTTTTCTTAATGGGCATTTATAGCTTTGGTTTCTAATAACCAAAACGTTGGGAATAACTTAAATCTATCAATGGGAGTGGTTGCACAAATTGTAGAATATTCCTATACTACAAATATACACATAAATAAAAAGGATAAATCACAGAAACATGCAATAGCATGAATGAATCTCAAAATAATTGTGATGTTTAGGAGAAAAACACACTTGAGAGATATATATGTACTGTATACTTCCACTTATAAAAATTATATAAGAATAATATCTAATCTATATAGGTGAAAAATTATGTATCAATGCAAAATGCTTATAAAATGCATGTGGTTTCCTGAGGTGATATGAAAAGAACAGATGAAAAGAAATGGTGCAAGGAAATTTTAGGTGATGATTGATTTTTTCCTAGTCTTATTATACTCATATTTAAAACAAAGATATATCTCAGAAAGAAAACTGAAAGGAAAAACTAGTGAATAGGATTGATTAGTATCTTTATATTCATCCAATAATCTCATTTCATTCTTTAAATGGAACCTGTTAGAAATCTGGTAGCCTGTACTTAACTCAGTTGTTTGGTTAAGTCACTTAGTCTGATTTATCTGAAAACTATTCAAATACTTGTTGCTTAGTTTCCTTACCAAAAACAACTAGTCTAAAAAATTCATTAGAAAATTTCCAGCAGTAAAAGACGGTGAATGAATTCCAAAAGCAAGGTATGTAAGGCTATAAGATTTAGAAATTATATGAAATGATAGCTATGTGAACCTACTTTCTATAGTAATCATTTTACTACCTAAAGGTTTCTGGTAACATTATACATATATATTAAATATACATAATAAAATTTATTTTAAAAAATAATTTGAATTTTTTTTTCTAAATTTGCACTAACAAGGAACATAGATGTGATTTTCTGAGACA